GTTTCAGATGCATGTATGAACTTCATCACTATTGAATTGTGGTACAAGCATGTGTTTGTATAATTCACCTTTAATCCATGCTGCCAGGGCCATGGACCTAAACAACAGAGAAACTCTTTAAAATGGCAGAAGACCAAATGTATTAGCTATCAAGTAAATATAAATGGTTTAAATGCCTGTACCAAAAGACAATGACTTCTACTTCAAAGCAACATATAAAGTCATTTTTCCTTATAAATTTTCAAAATATATCCATATCACAATCTCGAATCTTTGAAGACTCCTTACTTTTCTTCCTAGTCCACATGAACTCTGTCGTCTCTAGTTTCTCTAATGTCAGCCTTTATTTTTATTATAAAATATTTCAAAAAGATCTATCAGTAAAATTTAATAGATGCTGATATTTGTCATTACTTGTTCTAGGTCTTTTTTATAAGGCCCCTTTCCTTTCTTCTTGGGGACTAAGTTAAAGATGGTGTATATAATTTCCACAAATTGTTTAACACTTTTTTCTACATATAGATATAATCACAAACTACATAAGGAATTGCATGTTTCTAGAATTTATCTAAATAATATCACGTAGTAGGTATCCTTTTACAATTTGGGAGGATTACATTTAGTGAGATTGACTAATTTGAATCCTAAACGTTGCTCACCATGTAAATAATAACAGGTTGTTAATCAGTTTTCCCACTGATGAGAAACTATTTCTGTTTTGGTTTTTTTGTTTGTTTTGTCTTGTTTTTCTGTGGAGATTTTTGCTATCATAAGCAAGTATTTTGATAAATGTTTTTGTCTTACTTCCCTGTGCATTCAAGCCAATATTTCTGAGAGTTTGTGGAAGTTGGATTTCTTGGTTGGGCTGGCCTTCATACTTCTCTGACACCTGTTATCTGCTGTCTGTGTCTCGCTCTAAGAATGCAGCTCGGTGTTTGACGGAGGCTTGAAAAAAGAGAAGCTGTGAAGCCAGAAAGAAATGTGGGCAGCATTCCAGGAAAATGAAGCCATGAAAACTGCGAGCACTGTTCCACTCATCACTGCTGCTTCTAGGGACTGAGGGGTGTGCACCCCTTACTGTAGCTGAGGACTTTGGGAACAGCTTTATTGTTCGTTTGTTTAAATGACATCCACAGGTTTTATTCTGTTGGCATCACACTGATGTTTACACCAACTCCTGTTTCAGGATGAGAGTCAGTGGCTTCTAGGCCAGGGCGGTGAGGGCTGGGGAGCTTTAATTTCTGGCTGGGGAGCCCCTAGCCAGAGATTCAGACCCAGGAGCCTAGGAAAGGGCCTGAGCATCTGTACTTTTAAAATTGTTCCCATGTGATTTTGATGTCACCACGCATTTGATGGCACTCAGGCATTGGGCGGTGTGTATCTAAATTGATGACAACGCCCACTAGTCAGATTGTCATAGCTGAGGTCTTATCTGCTGGTTATGGCACAGAGCTAACTTTGCCCAGTTGTTCCACTGCTTGTCACAGTGCACCTCTGAGCAGCAGTCTGTCACATGGGCCACTGTGAGATGGCCTTGCAAACTCCTCCCTGTTCCCCTAGGGCGGGGTCTTACTCCCTTATTGAAGAATACTAGAAAAGCCAAGGACAGAGTTGACTGTCCTCACAAATAAGTTCTTGTCTGCCTCATTTTCACCACCATATTGGGTGGAGAAGAGGACCTGGATGGGTCATGTGTAAACCAAAAACTATCCCCCTACTCTTAAAAGTAGCAGTAGAAGTAATACCAACACAAATGGCAATTTGGTGATGAGGGACTCTTAAGATCTCCATTTTAGAACAAGGAAATGGAGGTGCAGCTAGTGTGCGGCACACCTGGGATTCAATCAGGCAGTTGGCTTCAACATGCATGATCAAAACCATTCAACTAGATTTTGCTCTCCGGAGGGAGCAGTCTCCTCCAGGGCACTGTCTCAAAGGATACCCATGTCATTTCCTCCGTTCTGGAGTATGGAGGTCCCCAGTATGGACTGCACCTTTCTTACCTGACCTTTGCACTTGAAGTACATCGTCCATGTATTCATACATGAGTGATCACACTCATGTCAACAAGATGTGGCATTGCCCGAGTCCTTGCTGTGACTATGTCCAGACACATAGAGAGACAGCTTATTTGAATTACTGCATGCAACTTCAACCATCACCACCCAATCACACACACACACATACGCATGCACACGTGCACACACACGCACATGCATACTCACATTGTATGGAGCCTCCTAACAGCCCCCCTGTGAGAAATCTTAGCTGCAGAGAGGCGAGGTCACTTGGCCCAGGGTCACTTGGCTACTCAGTTGAGCTTGGAGAGCTGCTCACCCCAGGGGCCTGTTCTTTCCACTACTTCTGGTGCATTCTAGCTTTCTTCAGAGTGAGGTCAGTGCACCACAATAGCAATAAAACTGTAGCAACAATACAGCCCCTCCCCTAAGGGAGAGGAGCTCTTCCTCAGAACTGCAATTTCCAGTTCTCAGGACTTTGCTTCCAGGAGTGGAAGGAGCCAGAGCGTCTGTCTGTGGCTGAAACTGGCCCTGCCTGACTTGGAGCCTGGAACGGTGCTGCTTCCTTCCCACCTGTGGTCCACTCCAGGCTTGTGTCCTCTGTTCTTGACCCCACAGAAAAGCCATCCTCCTTCCAGGTTCATCTGATACTGTCACTCCCTTTCTCAGAAAGTGTCAGGGACTCCCCGTTGCCATCTCCCCCACTCTGTGTGAAAGCCTGAATGAGCCAGCACTCAGCACTTCCCCACTTACAGTGACATCCATGCAATCACTGCTTCACAAATACAGCAAGTCTCACTCGGAGCGCGGGAGAAGGAGACACAGAAAACTAGGAATGGCAAATGTCCAGGGCTATCTACTCCCTGGTTGTGTAGGCAATGCTGGCACTTACAGCATTCTTAGCTTCAAAATCTCTACATCTGGCTAGCAGGAAGTTGGGGACAACCTTTCAGGAGATGATTTGAATGAGTGCCAGAGCAGGGAAGGGCATTCCAAGCCAAGAGAACAGCACGGCAAAGAAACAGAGGGTGAGAGTGCAGGGCAGGTGACCAAATGGGAGCAGTCCCCTGTGGGTGCCACCGTGAGCCCCGGGGCAGTACTATTTGAAGATGCTTGAAGTTGAACACTATTCCTACTGCTCAAAGGTAGAAAAGAAGAGCCCAGCTCCCTGGTCCAAGATTCCCCCACACTGCTACCTAGCTTCTAATCTTTCAGTAAGACTGGACACAATGACTATAATAGAAGCAGGAGCAAATGCCAAAGCTCTGAAGAAAAATAAAGGTAGAAGGAGGAGAAAGTGGAGGAGGAAAGGGAGGAACAGGAGAAGAGGAAAGAACAAGAACGAGAAGAGACTGAGAGCTGGCCGTCTGAGCAGGGAGGGCTATTTGGAGGTAGGAATGAGTTCATTTTAAGGGTGAAGCTGTAGCTCCCCTCTGAGGCCTTTGCTTTGGTTCCATGCATGGCACATTATTTTTATTAGTTGATCTCTCCATTCATTGGATGTTTATTAAGAACGTAGTAAGGGGCAATGAGTTATGGAGACTACAAGGGCCAAGGGCTAGTGCTCGTTAGTTTGCAAAGGTTAGAAAGTCAAACCATGTTCATCAAAAATCTGACTGGCCTTACAAAGGAATATCACAAACCTGGCATAAGGTAAGTACTTAATAAATATTTTCCTAAATATTGCAAGGATGTTCATTGTAGTGTTATTTAGAAGAATAAAAACTAGAAACAATGGAAGTTTCTACTGGTAGACTGCTGGTTAATGAGCTGTGATAAATTATTCTTCTTTGTTGAGGGACAGATGGACTGATGAGTGGGTGGATTGAAATTCTGAAAAGAGAAATCAAAAAAGTGAAACAGAAGTTTAGGCAAAGTATCATGGAGAAGACGGAGTGGAAGACAAGGCCTGGCATACAGTATGCAGTCAATAAATCTGCCCGTAGAAACTGATTTTCCCCCAGGTCAGTTGGCAAAATATCCCCCTAAAAGCCAAGAGTCTCCAGAAATATACGTATGTGCCGTGAACGCATCCCCTTTAGAGTGCCCTACCTGCTTTCCTATCTCCCATAGAGGTCGCCCTTAAATACTGCTGATGGCCAGAATTGCACAGAAATGTATGGCGACAGCATGAGACTAACATCTTTTCTGAGTCCTTCAGTATGGCCACTGGGAACCCAATGCATGATGGGACTTCCTGTTCTCCAGACAGCTTGCAGCTACAACACAGATATGAAGCCAGGGACTTAGACTGGGACAAATCCAGGGAATCACCTGGACATTTTTTGGAATGTCCCACAACTTTCGATGCCCTATTACTTCCTAAGCCCCATTCCTTCCCAGTATTGTGGCTTGAGAGTCCCCTATGGTTCTACCACGACTGAAATCTTGCTTTTCAGGATGAAACTATGGGGAGGTTGTGGAGCCCTGCGGAGTGAGACCAGGAGGGAAGTCTTAGGTCACTGAGAGTGTGCCCTTGAAAGGTACCTCTCACAGGCCTGCTTGGAAGTTCTCCCAAGAGGGTTTTTGTGAAAACCCAGTTCTCTGCTTCCTGCCTGTGAATAAGATTGTCCCCACATGTGCTCCCACCATTGCTGCCCACCATTTGCCATGGGCCCTCTTTAAAAATCATGATGCAGGCATCATGCCCTTAAAACTTCTGACACTGTAAGCTAAATGAACCTCTTTGTCTTTTTATACTGTATCAGGTATTTCATTATAGTGACATAGAGCTAATACACTCAGGAAGCTCTTTCTTTCTTTCTCCTTCCTGTCTGGTGAGTCTATCCAGCAGACCTGTTCAAGGTTACATCTGATTTCCAACCTCTGCTACCATCTCCTCCCTGCAAACTACATACATGCGTGGGGATGCACACATTTATCCGTGTGATAGAAGGAGAAACTGACTAGTCAGTTTTTTGTCACTGTGACAAAATACCTAAGAAAAACAGCTTAAAGGAGGAAAGGTTTATTCTGGCTTACAGTTTCACAAGTTTTGGCCCGTGGTCCGCTGACTCTATTACTCCAACATCATGGGGGCTTCCCAGGGCAGAGCACTGTAGCAGAGAGCGTGGCTCATCTCATGGCAGCTAGCAAGCAGAGAGAAAGAGTCAGAGCCTGGGAGGAAGGAGCCAGGATTACACCCCCTACAACCTGTACCCTTTCACTAGACCGCACCTCATATTTCTATCACCTCCCAATGTTGCCATCAAATTATGCTAACGTCTGTGGATTGGTCCACTGAGAAAGCTAAATACTTCCTGATCCAATCACTTCTCTAGCCTTTGGGGGACACTTCCTGTTTAAACCATGATGCTGACCTTAGAAGACTGGTGAAAGGAATAGAGCTCAGCACGGGGCTTCCTCACACTGGGAAAGTGATCCTAGCAGCTCCTCCCTCCTCTAGTCCCTTCTCTTGTAGACCTGGTAAGGGGGAAAGTATATGACAGCCAGACTAAACTCCTTATTAGGGCTTTGGATCATGATTCCACAAGGAAGGGAGGATGACCAGAGAACACTCATCATTGTAGCAGTAGTTTACTTTACAGCTCTTGCCAAGATGGACTTCACGTTTCCCAGAGAAGCCCAAAGAGGCCACACAACCTACCTTTCTAAGTCTGGTCCCTCTCACATCCCACCAACACTGTGGTCCTTCAGCAGCAGATTTCCAACAGCTTCTCTGCCAGCAATGTGAGTCAGCCCTGGTTTCTGTTGCTTACAGTCAGTGAACTCTGAAAGGAGAAGACAGGGAGCAGGGATTCAGTAAACATCTATGCAATGCATGAATTAAGGAAGGAGTGAATGCATGTATCAATGAGTGCGTGAAGGAGACTCCTCTCTCCCTCTGCATTTGTCTCATCCCTCTCTTCATGCTAGCTGCAAAGGACCTTCTTTGGTGCCTCACTGTTCTGTGTTCCTGCCCTCCACACAGTCTTCCCTCTCCCTGAAAAGATCCTTCTTCCTTTTAGTGATTCTTCATCTCCATACTCACTCATTCAACTGGGAAAGTGTCCTTTCCACCTAGACCACTACCAGAGTAGACCGTGTTATTGTCTCTTATAAGGCGCTGGTGTTTTCCACCAGTAGATAAAGAAGTCTTCTGTCTTGTTACTTCATTGATGCCTGAGTATCTAGCTCCAGTCTCCATGAAGGCAAGAATAATGTCTGCACCTAGTCCAGTGCTAGGAAGGCAGCAAGTGTTCAACAGCTATCTGGTACATGAATCAAGGAAACTGCATACTGATCTTGATTCCAGTGAGCACTTGTAAATGCCTGTCGCTGTGTTTGAACTTGATGCACAGGGTCAGTTCTTGGGGACAAGTTGGCGAGCACCAAGAGAGCCGGAGATGCAGGGGAGAGAGAGGGAAGTGGCTACTAGAGACTTGGAACATGGGAAGGCAGAACAAGATAAGATCTAGCTTCTTCCTCTGCTCTGGCGATGGGCTGGCCTGGAACCCTGATATCATGGTGCCCAGCATACTGCCTGCCCTCTCAGTCATTAGGAAACCTGCTCTGAATTCTCTCCACCCCCATTTCTAGAAAGAAAGGGGAACCTACAGGAAAACAGATCTTTAACCTCTTTCCAGGGCTCTGGTGAATCATCTAATCCCATTGGGTCTGTTAGGAGCCTCCAAAGAGAAATGGTCACACACATGGGATTCATGCCTTATTCTTGGGGTCATGAGCTCTTGAGGGGACCCCGAGGCCCAGGTCCTAGGGTCTGGAAAACTGCCTGACTCCCCACAGCCTCTCCAGGTGGTGACTCATCCTTTCATGGACCTTGGCAGCTCCTGTTGGCATGAGGAGCAGCTAATGAAATCACATGCTCCTGAAAACCAATTCCCCAACCCACCAGAGAGGGAGGAGGCTAGCCAGGAAGTGGGAGTGGGGCAAGAAGGGAAAGCATGGTTCTGAATTTTAAAAATGTTTGAAAGAAAATGAGTGAACTCAAGTTGGCGGCTAGTAATTCAGGATGATGAGGCTGTTTTTACTCTAGTACTTCATAAATAACTTTGGATCGAAAGTTTCCAAGGATTGACAGAGCACTTCAAAGGCCCTCACCAGGGAGGAAATGAGACTTTCCCTCTGTTCCCTCTCCACTCAGGTGAGGATTGAGATCACCAACTGGAGGGGCTCATCAGGGGTGTGTCCCCACCGACTCACTGGCAAATGACCGAGAGACTGACTGACTGGCTGACTGAGGAGCTACACAGCCAGGAAGCTAATGGAGAAAATGACCAGGAGGCTGACAGATTGTTGAAATAACCAAGTGACCATTGGGCCAATGGAGTGGTTGATATGCTACTGAATGGACTGACAGCCTCGTAAACAAACAGATGGACTATGGCTGGCCAACAGACCAACTGATTGGCTGATGGATTGTTTCATCAGAGAGCCAGTGAATTACAAGCTTAACCTGTCCACTTGCCCACAAGCCTGTGTAACTGGCTGACCAGATGACCAACTGACTAATAGACTGATGTTACAACCTACCCACATACTAACCATGAGACATCTGGGGATGGATAGATTAACCCACTATTGATGTGCACTATTGTCAGAGAACTCAGATGGTAAGGAACATCCCCAAAGGAAGATCAGATGTTAAAAGAAAGTGACAGCAGATACATAAAAGATAAAAACCTAAAAAGCCCACTCTATAAGAACGAAAGAGGACCCTGGTAGTCATGTTGGAGGTAACCCAACATTACTGACATGTAGAGTTGTGTAAGGAAATTCTGAGATTCCAGCACAATGTCAAGGTGTAAGTTTCCTAGTTAGTTCTCCCAGGTGATGGTTAAATCAAATAAACAAATGACCAAATCAGTTCATCCATGACTTCTCTTTTAACACTCTTCTGACCCTCTTCCCGTCCCCATCCCGGACATAGCACCCATTCATTCTCCTAAGGTCCCAGACTAGGGGTCATAAAATGCAGTCATGGTGATGTTCTGGTTATAGGATTGTGGGTGATTATTTTTCCTTTCATTTTCTAATTATATCCTTTAATGTGGCTTATTCCCTTGCAATGGAAAAATCACATTTATAATTTCAGAAGGAAAAATAAAAACAAATTTTGTCTCTCTTTTTCTCCATGGTCAACAAATACTTCTTGATATAGGATCCAAGGTGTCTTCAAGACTTGCCTCTCCTTACTTTCTGATGTCACAAGGTTTACTGAGAACCTACTAATCCTTCCTCTCTTTTTCCTAGATTACTAGGACAGTCCTTGCAGCCTCTGCCTCTTCAAGTCTGCCTTTCATGAAGATGCTAAAGAGAATTTCCATGTTTCTCCTCAAGAATTTCCAAAACCAAAAAAAAAAAAAAAAAAAATCCAGGTGCCTGTTTGGTTTTAAACTCAAATTTTTAAAACTAGAATTAACGGAGCTTGAAGTTATTCAAAGTTCTTTCTGCCTGCATATATCTACCTTCTCCACATGCACACATGCAAACAAGAGTGGTAGTGTCTCTGTGTGTACAAAGATAATGATTAACATGTTGACTTCTTGTATTCTCCAAGGATCCTGTCAATAGTGAGTTGTAAGAGGCAGAGGAGAAGACTTAAGTATTCAGAATCCTCATTCATACTGCTCAGGGACTGAAGTACAAAAAAGCAAAGAAAGACCCCTGACATCTAAGAAGTGTCAGATTAAAATCATTTCTACCACTTGTTAAGGCCTTATTACATGCCACACATATTAAAAACACATTCATTTAATCAGCATGTATTTTATAGAATCTTTTGTCTGCTACACACTGTTCCAGAGAGCCTATAGTAGGAAAGCTGAGTTATCTCTGCCAGGTAAGCACTATAAATCCCATTTTACAGATGAGCAAATTCAGAGCTCAGAGAAGGGAAGTGAGCTGTCTACAGTTACATCTCTGGGCAAAGGCAGATTCAAGATTCGGAGTCAGGTCTGACTTCACAGCCTGTGCCCCATCATCACCCAGGCCACCATCTGCTCCCAGGAACGTCACCCAGTTTGCATTTGCATCTAAGGCAGGAAGGGGGAACTGGGCTTTCCATGTTATCCTCTGGCTCGAGTCAGGACCCACAGCATCACAGCACTGGCCGTGTTTACTTTGTGCGTCAGACATGCCTGAGTGTGTCTGCCCAAATGGACTGTGAGTTGCATGACAGAGGCTGGAGGTTTTGTCTGAGGATCCTCCGCCAGCCGGGGGAACTGACAGAAGGCTATGTTTGGTCACCCTGCCCAGCCTGTGGCTTCTCAGTTCACCCGAGATCCTAAGTTCAAAATATATGCCACCTCTCCCACTTTATCCCTATTTGGGGAAGACACCATGGGCTCAGAGAGATGTGGTTTGAATGCCACAGTTGTATCTTGAGCAAGTCACTTATCTCCTCTGTGCCTTATTTTCCCTACTTGATGAAAGGGGATAACAAGATCCCCACCTCATCCCTAAGCTTGCTACAGGAACTGGACAAGCTATGAGATGGACGTGTTTTAGAAGCACATCCAGATGCAGCAGGTCTTTGATAAGCCCAAGTTGTTTTTCTCTCTCCCAATAACTTTCTTCTCTGCAACTGCCTGGCTCTCCTGGGTCTCCCTCCACCCGCTAGGCCAGCCCCCATCCCCCACCTAGCCCTAATGACTTCTGCAGCCCATCCCTAGTGGCAGTAGCTGAGAGGCCAGAGAGTCCCAGAGCCCCCAAGCTCTTTAATCAGCCTCCGAGAGGGCTACAAGTGGTGGAGCCTGCAAGTGATTTGGTACCGGGCACAGCAAACAGGCCTGCAGGGAATCACTTCAGCAGAAAGATGTTGGCACGTCTCTATAGCAACTCGGGGAAAATATTTCATGCAAAAGTCCATCTGCTGTAACATAAAGGGAGTCCCAGCCAATAACTGAGTTATAATGAGTTATAAATTAATCTTAATGTGCAAGTTTTATTTTACCAACCACAAAATACACACACATATGCACATATACACATACTAAATATAGTCTTTTACGCACACGCACATGCAGTCATGAGACAATAGCAGTATAATTGTGACAAACTTGTCCCATCTTTGTGATGCTGATTAACCAGCAAGCAGAGTATTCACCTGGGGGCTGGATGATGTGACCCAAACAAGCGGACTTCCAGAGCACTGTTAAAAGGACAGATAAACTCACCAAGTTACTTAGAGCTGTCGTGTGAGCCAGAGCTAAAATCTCTGTTGGTTTTGTCAGTTTCTCTTCAAGAAAAAAAAATTGACTGGTTTTTTTGTGTTGTTGTTCCTGATGTCTTTGTAAGGAGACGTTTGTATTGATTCATCTGTATAAAATGCTTTGTAGCGGCTATCAAAGTGGAAAAAAACAACGTGATAATTTGCATTGTGATGCTTTCAATTTTCCGTGTTGTCAACACTTCAAAGTGGGCCGGAGCTCTGCTTGGGAGACCAGGGGCGTCTCCGCTGCACGTATCTAGGCTACAAACTGTCGGCAGCTCTGGGGCGCGACGCCCACTCTGGCTTCGGATCTTTCCCCTTTTACTTTTTTTCATTCCTCGCTTTCCATGTCTGCACTACAAAATTCATGTGGACTGGAAAAAGAAAAAGGGTGGTGGTGAGTGGGAGGAGAAGGCGCTGAGCAGGGCAAGATGTCCAGCATCTTCTTCCCTAGACAGAGCTGGCTTCCAGCTTACAGACCTGGCCCAGGCCACTCAGGGAGAGGGGAGAAGAGGACGCCATCACCCTGATCCTAAAGGAAAATACCACAACTTGTCA